AGAGAGAGAGGAGGAGGGAGAGAGAGAGAGAGAGAGAGAAGGAGGGGAGATGAGAGAGGGAGAGAGAGAGAGAGAGGAGAGAGAGGAGAGAAGAGAGAGGAGAGAGGAGAGAGAGAGAGAGGAGAGGAGAGGTAGCACGCGGAAACATAATGCGGCGATAGCAACTCAGCAAGGTTACATCATAGATTACCTGGTACTCCTCACTAGCTAATCCATTTCCAGATAATCCAAGGCTATATAAACCGGTGATAGGAATTTATGGCGGAAATAAAGACCGCATTGATGTCGCGTCCAGATCGCGTCTATCTAGAGCGATAAGATGTTTGCTCTGGGGCAGAATGGCATAGCACTCCCAGCTTTCAATACTGGCTGTTGAGGCCTTACAGGTTTACACCCAGCACGGATGGCCCTATTGAGAGAAAGATCTGCTGCCTTGACAACGATGCATGAATGACTGCAACCTACTCATATTTGACGATGACATTGTCGTAAACAGTAAACGACATGGCGACCGGCGCACCTCTATGCATGGCACACAATAAGAGGTTTACAGCCGGCAAGCCAGCTCATATAATTTGCGACACTGTAGATAACTGCAGATCGATATCACTACTAATGAAGCAAAAACCGTGTGACATGTATATCATGCGATTATCCGAAACATCCAACAACGACAGTTATCATCCGACCCATCTATACAGAAAGGCATTAATTAAGCCTGCGTTCATGACAGCATGCAAGGCATGCACCCAACACCGCGTATCTGACAGGAAAGAGTTAAATGCAACAAAGGAGCACATCGGCGGATTGATAATTCAATCTCTGGAAAATGTTTAAATTGCAGTGGAGGAGAAGAGAGAAAAGCGAAGGAATAAATGGTGCATGTGAAGGACAAATTGCGGCGTAGAGTCTATTTCTGTACTGACCTTTCCTTAAGGTTCTCCCTGGACAACTGGCATGGGGACACTTCCTCTAAACCGCGATCAAGCATCTGCTCTAACGACCCTTTGCTCGTCATATTCACTGACTGACTCTGACTCGGACACTAACACTTTCAGGCTTCATTCATTCGTTTATTGAACTGTCAATGATATTGTTTTATTCATTCATTCATTCATTCATTCATTCAATCATTCAGCAACACATACATTTTCATTCATACCTTCAATTATTAATCCATTGATTCATTCATGCGTCCCTTCAGTTGGTCATGCGTACCTGTGTCTTTTAATCCATTTTATTCTTGGCTCATTCATTAATTCATTCACACATCCATTCATCCTTTCCTTCGAGCATATCTCCATTCATTCTTTCGGCCGACCATCAATACATCCATCAATCATTCATCCATTGACTTCATTCAGTCTTTCCTTCAACCAAACACCGCGCTAACCACTTATCATTTCACCTGTCCATACATTCATCATGTAGTTATTCATCTAGTGGATGACGATACTTCATTCTTCACCATTCACCCACTGACTCCATTCATTCTTTCGTTCCCCCACACACCACTCTATTGATTCATCATTAAATCCATTCATTCATTCACTGAATCATTCATTGACCGTTTCTAACCTGTTTCTGGTCTGATGTCTCCCTGTGTCAGAGTCGCCGCGTTACCGCCGTTTGCGCCATTGTTGTCTCCAACGTCCGGCACCGGTTTGGTATCCGCTGCACCATTTATGTCTCCGCCAATAGCATTGGCCTTGGATGCGTCTTTGACGGTAGATGTTTCTGAAGCGCCACTTGCGCCTTTATCAACACCAGTGATCTTTGATGGGCCATTGTTGTCGGGAGGGGGGGTCACTTGTACGTCAATCTCGTAAGCAGGAATGATCCTCGGTGCGTCATTTTTGACAGAGCCAGCGAGTACAGCTGCTCCATCGCTGGCTGCCAGACGATCCAACTTCGCTTCTCCGACGTTTGTAGCTTGAGCCGCACCACCAAGGGATCCAACACCACCCCTTACAGCTGATGCTTCCGCACCTCTGCCTTCTGTTTCAGGATTACCAGCCGTAGCTTCGGGTCTACCAGCTGCTGCTTCAGCAACTCCATCCACAGCTTCAACTCTTCCAGCTACGGCAGGAGCAGGAGTGGAGGAGCCTTCACCAGCGGATGCGGAAGCCGTCGTGGTAGCCGCAGTTACTGAAGCTGGAGAAACAGTGGAAGAACCGACTGCTGAAGAAGCGATGGCTGGAGCTCCCTCTGGCGATTGCAGGGTAGCGTGGCGATGTTAGCGAATTGTTACAGAATATGACAACATGTTACGATGTCAGGGTGCTGGGAATGATGCAGCAAATGATATCGTGGTTTCAGGAAGAATGCCAAATATAAAGTAGCTACATAAACTACATAGCTACATAAACACTGAAAAGTGAAAATTCATCAAGGTTTCTAGGAGAAATTGCTATTGATGGTATCCCCTATATTTAGCTACCACAAGTTAATCAAGCTAGCTACATGTATAATTTGCTCGCATACTAGGTGTTTCCATGACAAGTAGAAGCCAATACAACGCTACACTCATGCGGTGAGAACAGGAGATAGACAAAGAAGATATAAATGTATAAGCACGATCTCATATGTGTGTGCTTATTCTCATGCAGTTAGTTGAGAGATACAAATACACAAATAATAGAAGAACTAGCATAGCAATGTACCCGACCATCTTTACATGCAAAGCGCATATGAAATATCATCAATACAGTTAGCCTAATTAATGACCTTTTGAAGACGTAGTGATTCGACTAATTTGACTACTAAGATCCCAGTCATGAGATTAGACTGGGTACTGCCAGGTCGCCTGTGCGCGTTACTGTTTCACAACCCATGTGGTTGGGATGCAAGATTACTCATAAGTAAGATATACCATAATCAGTGTGCCCCTTTACACTTACCTTGATGTGCGGCCCCCGGGGCATGAAGTGAATGTGAGTTGGCATTTCCGACATTACTACCACCTGAAACAAAGCATCAAATACCTCCTCAAACAGTGTCGAGAACATGAGCGCATTCACACAAAATACAGTATATGGTGTACTCTGTGTTTATTGGTTTTCGATATTCTTTGTCGAAATAAACCAGCTTCAAAACTATCGTCTATGTCCCTGACGCTTAGGACGAGTGCATTCGTTTATAATATCGTACGAGTGAATAACCCGAAGAATGCAGATGCATTTAGCATTGAAAGATTGAAAACTGCACACTCCAAAAACACTTCAATTGAAATAGGACACCTTTGGCTTCAGCTTTGACAGGCGAATACCTGTAGGTAGCCAAGCCAGAATTAAGAACCCAAGATTGTGCGAGCGTGCGTATTGGCTCCCGCATGAAACACTAACACCAGCAAAGGGCTTTGAACCCACCTGCACCTGCGTCGTGTTGACTCGCCACGTCCTTCAGCATAGCCACTAATCTTCTTCCTTGGTACAGCCCGTAGCAATCACCATTGGCCAATCCCGATCCAGCCGGATCGGCACAGGTTGTTTCACAATGCTCTCCATATAACCCCCTCGAGTGATCATCAGGAGGGGTAATTTGCGTAACCCACTGAGAAAGTTCACCACAAACCTCCTTTAAAGGAGTCTTCTCTCTGGAGGGGATTCTTGATAAGACGTCAGCTGGATCTGCCGCAGAACCCAGACTGCACGCTTCTTGGAGTGTGTTAAAAGCGAGCACGCAAAGCTCCCCCAAAGGGTCAGGTACTGACGTGTGTTCAGTTTGAGGATACGGCCGGGTGCACGTAGCATTATACTTCATCCCCTTCTCCGTGAGTTTGAACCCAAGAGGGCGGAGAAGGCGATCCAATACAGGATGAGGGAGAATACTAGAACACTTTGAGTGGGGGAGAAAACGTTTGACGTCTTCGGAGATGAGCCGTTGGTCTGGCGGCTGGGGCGTGGTAGGAGGGGGTGCCAGGAGCGGGCTGACTAAGGTAAAAAGGATGGCCGCACACAGCAGATGGCCCTCTGATGTTAGGTGTGACTTCAGCATGGTAATGTGATCAGTATCTGAAAATAAGGACAGTGTGTTAAAATTGGTGCATATCACAATAAGAAAAGTTACAAAGCAGAGTAGTACAATTATTGTACATATCACAATTAGAGCAGCTTCATTATTATGAGGTAGTTGGACGGGCAGGCGACAAAGTTACTTCATACTGAGGTTTGCAAAAACTCATTGTAAACGAGAGGTTTACAAAAAAATCATTGTAAACAAAGTATCATTATGCACAATACAAAAGTATCCTTGCTGGTTTATTGCAACACTACATAGATGAATAGGTAGTAGTTTGAAGTACTGCTGGGAGCTAGCCCTTTTCATAAATTCAGCTCAAATGTTTGCATGAAGGATCCAGAGAACCAGAGCCAAAGTAAGCAGACTAGCTGCACAGGACCCATTGTGCCCCAAATGTCCAATTGGGCAATTGTTCCAATTGTTGACCCTAACTGCCTCCAGCAACTACAAGCCAACAGTCGAGAGCCTCATAAGTACATCAAGCTCTGCAGGCCACCAAAACACGAGATAATTTCCCCTTAACACCAACACCAGGAAGCCAGGTGTCCGAGCTCATCTTTGCCAGGGCGACCCACCAGCCGAGCTCTGCCTGCTGGGCCGAGAGCCAAGGATCACCCCTGAATTACCCACAGAGGTGGCACATGATGGTTGGCACGGTATATGGTGAACTGATGGTTGATGGTTGGCTGTTGGGACAGCCGTGTCAGGGCAGGCCAGCCAATGTCTGGACCTCGAGACTTGCTTGTGCATATTATAACCAGAGGCAGATTGCAGACCTCGCTCTTTTGGAGAGGAACCGACACTGCACAGCTAATCACATCTAGAATTTTTCCTCCTCCAACACCAAGCAGACGCATTATCCCAATCCCCCTGCGGTCCATCTCTCAGCGCCCAGCGTAACCAGGGGAATTGGCGCGTCTTTCCTACACGGTTTCCTGCCTCTCCTCATGCACTGGTGAGTGATTCAAGGAAACCCAACAGGTGAGTTTAACAGGTGAGTTAAACGCACTGTTACGAAACGACCGACTCTCAGCTTGTTTAACTGTGCGCGTGCTTTCATCTTCAACAGAACTTCACCAGCTTCACTGCCACCACACTTGACACACCTTCAAAGTTCCACAGTGTATTGGGTCTAACATCCAATACCTGTCAGGCACGTAGCCAGGATTTTGCTCAGAGAGGCGCCACAGGTCGCGGCCTAGTGTCGTACCCCTCCAAAAAAGGAAAACTCCTTGGATTTGGCCCACCATTTTTGGGGATGTTGTGCAGCGTTTCTATTTATTTTTATCTTTTATTTCATTTTAATTTTATTTTTCATCTTCAGGGGTGGGGCATGGGCCCCGTGTCCCCCCCCCCTTGGCTCCGTCCCTGATACCAACCAACGATAGCTGTGGTATAACTCAGCTCCCCGAGGGACCCGCAGAACGATCCACAGCACCTGTAATCAGCAGCCGCACTGCTCAACGTTTGCGCTAGTCAGGTTCCAACAATGTCCAATAGGATAGAGATAGGAGAGTCAGAGGAGGAATTCAGGAACCCCATACACAACACTCGAACTCGAATGCCCGCGTGGTACAACCCATCGCTGAAGTAATGTGCGATTTCACCAATTTCAGCGGATGGCTTTGAATGGCGACTTTTTCAATGTGGAGTGATCGAAAAGAAGCCATCAATAGATAAAGTTGCAGCAGCAAGGGTGACGACTGACGATTAATCTAAGCTACGTTAAAAGTTTCATTGTAGTCTGGCTAATCGTTCCTAACATTCAGACGCAGAACATGACTGAGACCGCACATTATTTCTGCTGTGGACTGTACGTAAACAAATCGACGTCACCGTCGTTCCAACCAGACTGGAAAAAAATACACGTTATGCCGAATATGTCCAGTGTAGTGGCGGGATTGCGCCGAGAATTTCAGCGCACGTCCGGCGTAACTTCGCATGCGCCGAATTCGGCGCAAAGTGGCCGCTGAATTTTATTTTCGGCGCACGGCTGTCGCAAAATTTTTCGACGAATGACGGTCACTCCATTTTTCGACACGCTGGCCAGTCTAGCAGCAGATTCGTCCTGCGGGCGGCTCTGGAGAGGGTTCGGGACAAAACATCCCCCGCTCCGGTCGTCGCGTGCTCACTCACGAGACGCCTTTAGTCTACTGAGCGGAGGGGAGGCCGCCCACGTGAGGCCTTCACCCTCGGCGCGGAGATAGGTATGAGAGGCCTTGTTGGACATCATGAAGCGTTGCAAAGTAAATCTGTAGTGGGTTCCTACTTCCTGCCCACTGCGGGATCGAGGGGAATGAGAGAGCGGACGACCTGGCGAAATGAGCGGCCGCCTTGCCCTCAAATGCCCACTCGCTGACCCGGGCGGTTCATTATATTGCAACCTTACCTTACCTTTCGGTAATGGGATTTTTTTTTTAGGCTGTAAGGCCTGTGAGACCCGATCTTGGCGAGCTCCTGGTGTCAAGCATAGCTCAGTCTGTGTCGTGTATGGTAAACGTGATTGACAACCAGTGCGCAGTGTGACGATGAAATAAAATAACCTCGCGGTAATAGCGCGACAATGGTCCCAGTCACTAATCAACAGGGCTGCGGAGTCGATGGATTTACGGCGACTCCGACTCCGACTTTCAAAAACCAACTCCGACTCCGAGCAGAAATGTCGACTCCGATCGACTCCAACTCCCGACTCCGCACACCTAGCAGGGCTGCAGAGTCGACAGATTTTCGGTGACTCCGACTCCGACTGGGGTTTCCAATATCGACTCCGACTCCGACTCCGGTCACAACTGTCGACTCCGACCGACTCCGACTCCGCAGCCCTACTAATCAAGCCACTCTTAGGGAGCGCGCTGCCGCTTCCTATCCCCAGAGAGGTCTGGGCCGAGAGGGCGCCCGGTTTCGGTGCACCAGATGAGGGCGGGCCGCTGGGGCCGCTCGGTCCAGTACGTGCAACGAATCGGCTGTCTCCACTCCATGGCGTACCAGCAGTGCCCAGACAAGCGGTGCCCCGCGGCGCGTGTGCCGAGAAGAGGCTGATCTGCTCCAGCATGTGCTGCTCCGCTGCCTGGCCCTCGGCCAGCCTCTAATACACTGCTCGGCACTCCGTCCATTTTGTGGCCCCAGAACTTCCCGTAGGTTTGAAGGTTTTAGGTGTGTTTACACCACCGAAGCTATCGGTGACGCCTGCGCTACCGTTACCGAAATCTTCTCAGGACTTTATCTTGACATTTATGATTTACCGGTACATGAAGCTAAATTAGAAGGGCTAATCGGTAAAAGTATACATTAAGTCCGAGTGACTGTTAAAAGATAAAGTTTTCATATTCTTACATTATTTGACATCCTGAATCCAAAAATGATACTTATATGTCCTGGAAATAAAAGAAAAACATAATCAAACCTGACCTAACCTTACCTATTTACCTACAACCTACCAACCTACAACCTACAAACCTACAACCTAACCTAACCTACAAACCTACAACCTAAAACCTACAAACCTACAACCTAACCTAACCTAAAACCTAAATTTTTTGCTGTTACATATTTGTATCAACAGCGTCACAATTGTCCACTCGGACCTAATATATACTAATACCGGCTAATCTTTAGGACAAAGGCACACTTAAACGTGAATTTAAACTAGATGCCGGCAGCGCTCTTGCGTTGCCTTGGGCCAGAATTGGAGGTACGGTACTGAAGGCACACACCGGGCCAAACCACCGAAACCCAGACTGAGCTTGGACTGAACCTGAAACCAACCAAAACATCCCAAAAATGCTTGGAAGCACGTGAGATTGGTGTGGATATCTACCTACAGTAAGATATGCACGTGCATAGTTCATGTCCCAGGCACCCCAGTGCAGTCATTTTCATAGCATCCTGTAGCATGTGTCTAGTTCTATCAGTGTACCGACTTTTGTGTCGCTATCTCGACGTTTCCCGTGATCAGAGGATCCATCGTCAAAACCGTTAACCGCCCCCCGCACGCGCAGCTTGCACCCCTCGGATATTATCTCGCCGCAATGTCAAGATTCAATGCATTTTTTCTTATGACCTGCAAGTTTTGAACCAGTTAGAGCCGCCGTTTACCCTGCAGGCGTGGCAACGTACGAAGGGGTGCAATCGGCTTGCACGTGCATAGCTCATGCACCACAGAGTTTAGCTCAACCAAATGTGCACTATTTTGGAGGCCTTGCCTGGGACTACAATTGAACCGATTTTGAAGTTGATAGCTCAAAATTTCTTGGAGCCAGAGGACCTCACGTCAAAACGGCTTTCCGCCACCAGCACGTGCAGCCTGCACCCCTCGCAGACGGTGACCCCCCTGGAAACTGGTTCAAGGTGTTACCGATGTGTCCCGCCAGTGTGGCTTTGTCCGTGACCTCGGGTTGACCTGTAGCCTTGACAAAAAATTTCGTGTCACCGAAACTTTGAAGTGGAATAGCATGTGCCACGAAGCACTGAGCGAACCGAGGCCAGCATCAAAAGTTTACCTCGCCGGTGACGAGTCGAACGGTACCACGTTGGTCCCGATCGGTCCACACATTTTGACTCCAGGTCCAAAAAAGCTTGGACAAACTCACATACATACATACTGACAAACAGGCTCAGCCGAACTTTTTTTCAGCGACCCACCAATGGGAATTTCCGGATGCAAAAGCATGCTATCGCATGCTTTTGATCCTCCAATTCTGGACAATTTACCTCATGCAAAACATCTAAATCTTTTTATGTGCTTATCAGTCAGATATTACGAAGTAAGAAGTAAGAAGACCAGAATTATTGCACGACCAAGGATTGATTCCAGGACAAATCTTCGTATGGCATTTCTTCGTCGCGCAATTCTTCGTCCGCATTTCTTCGTCCGCAAATCTTCGTCGGCGCATTTATTCGTGTCGCATTATTTCGTCTCGCATTTCTTCGTAAGCGCAAATATTCGTAGCGCATTTCTTCGTTTCCGCATTTCTTCGTCGGCGCATTTCTTCGT